GCACCTTCCGTGCGTATGGCGCGTAGCGCCATTGTGACACTAAATATTTGTGACAATAAGTAATATGTGAGAATTAGGGTAAATTAAAAAACTAGGGTATACTAAAAATAGATATATTATAAATATACTATATTTTACTATACTAGTTATGAGGTCATTACTTATTGTCCCAAATATTTAGTGTTGAATTCTCGTAAGAATTCGGGAAACGTCATCCTAACGAGATCTTAGATAGGGTTACACCTACAATATAGTTAAATTATAGTTTAATAATAAACTATACTAATATTTAATGACCCTACCATCTAGATATGGTCATCAGATAGAACAATGTATGGGACACCATCCAATAATACTAAGCATATATTTAATAGTTCAGAAGAGGAGACTGTACTAGACTATCGAACTATTACAATCAGCGATTTTACTCAAATATTGCAAGGAATAGAAGAAGTAGCTAATAGTGCTTTCATGTTGACAGAAGGAGTTAAACTATCGTTCGAGAAAACACCACTCAATATGTTAACTACCGTTTTAAATACACATATTGAAGTTATAGAAGAATTATCAAAGAAGATTAAAGTTTTTAAGAAAAGAAACCAATTATTAATAGAAGAATTAAAAGAGGAGAAGAAAGAAAAAGAACAAAAGGTTAAAGAAGAGACAAAACCTCAGAGGAGGAAAACAGAATTATTATAATTGAATAATTGAATTAATTTATTTATGTTTGTTTTATTTTTAGAAAAATGTTATTTATTTTTTGTTATTGCTTTCTAAAAATAAACAAATTTGTTATTTAAACGCATAGTTAAAAAGCATTCAATTGAAGTGCTCAATGTCTGGTTGATAATAACCAGTACGGATAAGACTGAGAAGATAGACCAGTGGTTTAGAGTCGATTAAATTAGACTCCACGTCCTTAATAAGGAAGTCGAGCCACATGAGTAAGTACTTAGTTGGTCTAAGATTATACTCATGGTCCCAAATACGGAACCAATAGACCAAACCGTAGAGTACTATCTCGGCGGTCTCATCCGTGGCTCGACCAAGTTGCTGTCTAACTTCTCTAGCAATGGCACTAATAAGGACAGAAAGGTTTAACTTAGGTCGACTGTATTCAATTGAATGCTGATAACATTATTCGAAGCGTTTAAATAACAAATTAAATTGTCTGTATGAGGCAGAGGGACTGTCTGTTATACTATAATTATAATAAAAGTATAATAAGATAAAAATAGAAATTGTCTGTTTTGTCTCTTTGTCTGTCAAAATTGTCTGTCTGTCTGTTTGAATGCCTACCACATCTGAGTATTTAAACAGATAAGTAATTGTGAAAAACAACATGGAAGTCGAAGATAAAGTAACGAGTGTTAAAATGGAGAACATTAAAGTTAATGACTTGAATGGTTTCTTCATCGACATGTTCATGCTAAAGGACATGTGTGATGATTTTGTAGAATTATTTAGAAAAGAGGAGAGATATTATTCCAACGAGGAGAAATATAACGAGCTACTAGAAGAAGAAGCTATAATGCTTGATAGTATCCGTAACCTAACAAATGAAATAAAAGAGAGCTATCAAGATGTAGTTGACGCGTTCTATGAAAGAAGATTACATAGGATGGAGTCAAGAATGATGAAGGCTTTCAATGAGATAGAAAAGAAACCAAGAAAGCCAAAAGAAGAAGACAAATAAATTAATTAATTTCTTTTTGATAATATTTTGTTTAATTAAAATTAAATGAATTAAAAAATAAACAATAAATTAGTCGACCAAATCATTGAAAAAGTTAAAGTCCTCCAATAACTCCAATAAACTACCTAGTTTATTAAATCTCTCGTCTTTTCTGCAAGAATCGACGAAACCTGCAATGTAGAAAGAGAGAATATCACTATAATTATAGTGAGTCTCCTCAAATCTCCTCATGAAATACATTATAGAGTAGATCAGGTATTTAGAATCCAAATCCATACTCTCATTATCGAGGAGACCCTTGCAGGTTTCGTCGATATCTTGCACAATATTCGACAAAGGGAGAATCATCAAATGAAACAGAAAGTACCCGACTATAAATAACAAGTAAAACGTGTACTCCACAGATAAACAGACAATTCTAAAATTAAAATACTATAAAAATATTATACTTATAGTAAAACAGACAATTGATATCCTCATACAGTCATTTAACAGCCTCATACAGACAATTTAGAAAATTCCGACTAATATAAATAATATACAGAACATGAAAATTCAACGCACATGTCACAAGAAGGAAAAAGATATTACGAATTCAAAGCCATGCACGGCTTTGTAACCATCAACCTCAGGGCAGAAACTCCAATGCCCTCAAAAGAGACAGTAAGAAAACTATTAGAAACTTGGCGCACAACTAGAAATAAGAAAGCTACCGTAAAATATCTGGCTTTGAGCAAAACAACGCAAGGATCAAAAAAACACATTCACGCCTTCTTCGAATTGGAAGAAACGGCCCACGTGAGAAAGAAGCCATTCGCGCTGTTAAACGGGGAACAGCATTTCTTAAAATTCGAAAAGGTGACAGAAAACAAAAACTACGATGGTAGTTTCAAAGCCATCATAGAATACTTAAAGAACCAGGGTGCAAAACACCCAAACAGTAATGCCGCGTTTGAAGAGATCGGAAAGATGGAAAGAAACCGCGGAAGATTGGGCGATATTGACATCGCCAAAGCACTTAAAATGCCAGACTTAGAAGAAGCCCACGCATTCTTAAAAAATATCAGCTTAAAAGGATACATGAATAATGTATCTAAGTTTGATAGTGTGTGGGCTCAAGAACACAGTAGAGACACTCCCTATAGAATAAAAATCAAACTACAACCATGGAAAGAAGATAATCCAGTGGTTAAAAACAGTAGAATATGGCTCAATTCTGCATTAAGCGGAAGAACAAAGAGAGTCAAGACATTAGTTATAGTCAGTGATACCAAGATGGGGAAGACGGAATTCGTAAATGATTTATTAAAGAATTTAAAAGTAGACGAATTCAGAGGAAGATTTATGATGGATGGCCACAACGAAAGCTTAAAGTATGATATACGTTTATTCGACGATGCTAATTTAAACGATATAATATGGCCAGAATTCAAATCATTGATTAGTACCAGAGGAGAACAGATTACAATTAATGTGAAATATTCACACGCCAGAGTTACATCAATTCCAACAATACTAGTACTTAATCCAGGAAGTTGGAAAGCACTCCAACAAACGGCAAAAGAATACGAAGATTTCGATTGGCTAGAAAAGAACTCAGTAGTACTCTTCACTAAAGAGAAATTATTCAAAGAGCCTCCACCTAAACCACAAGTAGAACAAGATAAAAGTAAATATGATGGTTTAGATCCAAAACTAGTAGAAATGTTACTAGAAAATGAAGTAGAAGAATACATCGAATTAGATGATATGGGAGATGACACAGTAGAAGATATAGATGATGCTCTATATCAATTAGAACAAGAGAGTCTACCTCCTCCTATAGTATTAGATCAGCCATTAGAAGAAGAAACACCATCAAAAAGAGTAGCCACAGATGATCACGAAATGCAGAAGAGATTCTTCGAATTAACGAAGAATGTAATAACAGAAGAAGGAAATAATAAATACATCACCGTACAAAGTGGAAAGAAAATAAGAATAGCCGATGAAGATAGCGAAGATGATCCAGAAGTTCTAGCAAACAATTGGAATACAGGCAATTTTTAATTGACTATTTTTATAATTTGTTTCCTTTTATTCGAAAGAGATGTTATTATAAATAAAACATTCGAAGAAGAAAACAGAATAACGCTTTCGAACTCAAGCATAAAAAAGAGAAGTCTATAATTAAATATTTAAACCCTTAGGTCATCTATAAAACATATCAAATGAATAAAGCATTAGAAGGATATATCAACACAACAAGCAATTGTCCACTCTGGAGAATGAATAAATTAAAAGTAATGGGTACACTCCAAGAAATACTAGAAGCAGCCATCAAAGAAGAAGACGACCTTCTCAGAGATGAATTGAGAGTACCTTATTGGAAACTAGTATATTCTCTGGCAGATAAATTGAGATTCAATGCATTCTCAACAAATGAAAAGTATAGACCGATAACAATAAACGAAGAAAAAAGACAAGAGATGATACGTCAATTGGAAGAAAACAGAAAGAAGAAAGAAAAAAGAATTCAACAGCTCAGAGAAGAAAGAATGGAAAAAGAAAGACTAGAAAAAGAAGGAGTAAAAGCAATGCAAGAAATAGTAGACAAAGTAATGGAAGAAGTTTCCGAAGAGGAACAATCAAGTGAAGATTCAGTACAATTTGTAGAAGAAAGCTCGGCAGAAGAAACAAATAAGAAAGATTTCCCGACTAGGGGGAAAAAATTCCTCTCCTCAGAAGAAAAGAAAGCTAAAGCAACCAAACCTAAGAAAAACTGATTCAGTTTCTTCTTTCTCACTCATTATAAACAGTAATTGTAATTACTATTATTTAATTTTGTTTCGAATTCTTTTTAAAGAAAGAAGAAAAAGTTTATTACATCTTTTTGAATATTAATACGGTAGTATTACAATAGTATTAATTCGTCGTATATTACAAGAAGAATATACAACGCGTCTCATGATTACCATCAATGACATAATGATAACTAATTAATGAACACTATAGAAATACTTTACACAGTATTATCATTATATATACAAATAACCTGATATATAACCTATATCATATTTGTACATATTACTATAGCGAGTTTACTCACTCTCATACCGCGAGAATATTTTATATTCTCAACTTAACACGATAAGTGGAAGAGAAACTCGCAACAGTGAAACAGGTGGAAAAGATTCCACGTATAAACGATACTCCAAATATACTCATCGTTTACATGAATTTTTAATGTACTCAACAAAGGTTAAATACCCCACATTATACCTATCTTATATAGGCCGAAGGCCATTTGTTCTTAAGATCTTTCTAAACAGACCACAAGAGAACGGCATCCCCTTTAAGTCGTAAAGGGACCAAAACAGTCACCCAAAGTAGTGTAACGGATAAGGGTGAGTGTATGTTCCTCTTTATGACTTAAATAGTGGGTGGAGTGATCATAAGGTCTCTAAGAAAAATTTATTACTTAATTAGTATAATACTATATACATCATTGA